CAAAAAACAAAAAAAAAAAACAAGAAATCAATATTATGAAATAATTGGAGAGTGAGTGATAATTATATAACGAAATTATTACAGCAAATTGATATGTTGATAATTGATAATTTTGTATGAACCTAAAAGAAATCAATACGTGTAGTACTGGATTTCTCATCTTTATGACTATCCAATAGCGCTTCTGATTCATCATTATCACTATGATGTGATAGCGCTATTGACGTTTGATTGATATTTTTTGGCGTTTGTAATGGTGTCCAGAATTGTGTACGAGCTGATCCTGTATTCTGTGAATTTTCTGAACATCCTTGAAATTTGAAATTTCGTTTCAGATATCATTTTATCAATTCAACATTAAATGATGAATCACAAAATGCTAAATCAATTTAATATATGTTCCATTCCGGTAATATTTTTCTTATCTCAGATATACCAAATATAATTATACAGAGTTAAAAGAGGAAATTTTATCACTTTATCTAGCATTTATTAAACATATGTTTAATTTTAGTGGAGAATATGTTAACGAATTTAAGCTTTCAAACGATCGATTGTAACAAATATCATTAAGTGAATTAAAATAATTTTACAAAAATTAAAAAGGTATTTTTTAATTCTTTCATTTCATATATGATTTAATTAAATCTACCTGAAAGATCAGTATCCAAAACAAATGAACAATGTGGTTGAAAATGCTCATCATCTTCACCAGATTTATCAATTGTTTGAAGCATCTCTATATTATTCAAGGGTATTGTGGTACATTGTGAAGCTGAATTATCAGATCTAGAAATTCATTAACAATTGTTCTTAACAGTTTCGGATGATTAAATTTTATGGATAACATATCTATATGGAGTAACAAGAGAAAATTTGCAACAAAATTAAGTTAAAATTAAATTTTAGGCTAAATAATTGTAATTTGAAAATAGTATAAAATTGATAAAATAAAAATTACTGTAAATCATACTTGGTTCTGGAAGATGTATCAAGTTCAGAATTGGTTATAATACGTTGTGGAGCTGAATTCGGAATTTGAATTGGAACCGGATAATTACCTAATTGCTTCTTTTGGTTTTTATTCTCCAGAAACATTTCAAGTAATAAATCCAATTTTTTGTCAATTTTTTGCATCTATAATAAACAACTAAAATGCATCATTGCTGTCATTTTTTTTTTTTTTGATTCAATTGATATTATCATCAAATAAGCTTGTATAATATCATCAGTTCAAATTTTAAAAAAGAAAAAAAAATTAAACAACCGTTAAAAAATGATTAATAAAAATTGATTCATAAAAGTTCAAAAATTATTAATAAAAATTTGAAAATAACAATAAAATTTATAATTTGAAATGAGTGTTGAATAAATATATCATATTAAAATCACCTTATCAATTAACGAAAAAAAAAAACAATTTACATAATGTATACCTGCATTTCCATAACAATTACGCGATGCGTTAAGGACACTTTCACTTCATCTTTTGGTTTTCCAACAATTTGATCCAACCTAGAAAAAAAAAAATATCTATCTAATTGTAAATTTTACTTCTTTATTTTTTAATTAATTATACTTTCGAATAAAGTATTTTCTCATTTTGTTAATCCATCGCATAGATGATAAGCTTAATCAATTGTAATCTTTATGAATGTCAACTCAATTCGGCTTTTCTTTTTAAATCGTCATCTATTATCTCTAAAATTTCAGAACAGAACAAAAATTGTCATACAAAAAAAAAAAAGAAAAAGGAAGAATTCTATGACATTTCAATATCTAGCAATATATAATAAGATATTAGTTTAAATTTCTATTAGAATTTGTAAAAATTAAATACATTTTGTTGTTTGCATAATTTTATGCTAATTATAAAAGAAGCAAAAATTTATTGAAAATTATGATCAGTGATAGAATAATTTAACCTTTGCTGCACATGTTTGACACGTGCTTGTAAATCAACATGTCCAGCAGAATATTGCTCAATGACATCTTTGACATCATATGGTTTTAAAGCTTCTTTAAATTTACGCCTTGCAACGAGAAGTTGTATACGACGAATTGCTCGTATGACATTTTTAAGTGATGGAGTAAATTCATCCATTGATTTTGGTTGTAATGATGGTGAATCATCATCTGAAATAATATATAAAATGAAATTTGTAATTATAAAAAAAGTTGAAAGATATATTTATAATAGAAAATTTTTTGAAAAAAATATGAAAGATGAAGTTTAATTAAAGATTTTTGAATGCATTATCCCGAATAATATCAGGATATACCAAGGAAAAGATTGGTAGGTACAGCATGCTATTTAGGAATAAATTATAACTTTATCAATGAATGCATGCATCATTAGTTCGTATTATTATAATGTTTAAAAGCAAAAAAAAAAAAAAAAGAAAAAGAAAAAAGAAAAATAAGCAGAATAAATGATAAGCAAAGATACTTGAAATAAATGATTTCAAATATAGTAAAAATTAAATTTTCAAAACAAATAGAATGGTAAATATATGCATTGCATGCATGTTATTAGCAATAGCCAAAAAAAAAAAAAAAAAAGGGAAAATAAGAAATATGTTATTTGGTGAATTTTTTGATTAAAATACCAATATTGTAGATGTCAACATGGGGTTCACGACGTAGACGTCGAGATTTTGTGAGTGATGCACAGGAACCTAAATGATCCCACATTGTATGTTCCGTTCCTTCACGTTCATCTGTTTCCCGATATTTTTGTTGCATCTTTTCCCACCAATGATAAAGCGGTGCCATTACCAAATTATAATCACCAATCATATAATCACCATCCTCTTCTGTTAAATATTTGCATAATGATAACGATTGATTCGGTTCCGCGGAATCTTCTGGTGATTGTAGATTTTCTGAAGAAGCAAAAGCAAATGCTAATACACACTAATAACCACACAGACAAAGTGAAAAGCAGTAAGAGTTAGTAAATTGAAAAGCATTATTTGTAGGGTAAAAAAACTGACTGATAGACGACAAACAAAA